CTCAACTTTTTGTTTGAATGTTTCTTATACATGGGCATCGTGCAAATACTCAAGAGTGGCGTTGCTGAAGTAAGTGGAAGTCAACTCATGGAGTTACTTCTTAGTTTATCGTCTATTTAGTAGCATTTTGCTCTGATTATGTAACATCGGGTTGGGAACACTTATTTTAATTTTATGATATGTTTATATTGAAGTCATAGGACTAATTCTGTTGTTGAGCATTCTTATGTTGTTGAGTTGATTGATTATAATTCTCTTATGTTGTTATTAAAGTTGAAGATTGAGACTAAATATCATTACTTTCCTTATCTTCCATAATTCTTGATGATAATTTTGTTGCAATGATACTTTAAAATGGAAGTGAGCGTGTCATAACAGGTTATGAATGTTTTATTATATGAATATGTGATACCGATCAGATGAGTTGGATGTCATGTAAACATCCCATATATAATTCAGATTAGTTGGATGTCGTGTAAACATCCCAATTACAAATGATTGTCTTTGAAAATATCATGTTGAAACCCGTGTTATGGAGTATGATGTGTATTTTTTATGTGTGTGACACCCTATGTGCTTGTATTTTATACCTAAATCATGCGATAATTGATTGTAGGATTTAGGGTGTTATAGAGACAATAACATGGGTGTTATACTTGGTAAAGGTAGTGTAGATAATGTCTCTTCTACTACTCTCTCTGATGTTATGCTTGTTGAAGGCCTTAAACACAATCTACTTAGAGTTAGTTAATTATGCGACAAAGGATACAAAATAACTTTCACAAATAATTGTTGCATGATTGAACATAATGAAAATATACTTGTTTAGGTAAATGATATATATATATATATATATATATATATATATATATATATATATATATATATATATATATATATATATATATATATATATATATATATATATATATATGCTTAACTTGGATGATGTATCCTTAACTAACACTAAGTGTTTAGTAAACATGAGTGAAGATTCTTGGTTATGGTATAAATGCTTGACACATGTCAACTTTTACTTACTATACAAAGTGGTCTCAAAGGATCTAGTTATTGGTCTACTAAAGATTAAAATTTCAAACGATCACCTATGTGATGCATGCCAAATGAGAAAGCAAACAAGAGTCTATTTTAAATATAAAAACATTGTTTCAACTTCTAGACCTCTTGAGCTTCTCCATATATATCTTTTTGGTCCTTCAAGGACTAAAATCTTAGGTGGTAACTAATAGGGTTTTGTTGTTGTAGACGACTATTCTAGATTTTGTTGGACAATCTTTTTGCTTAGTAAAGATGAGACATTTTTTTTGCTTTCACACGTTTTGCAAAGTTGTCCCAAAATAAAATGAATTTGAATATAATTGCTATATAAAGAAATCATGGAGATGAATTTGAAAATCACTTCTATTAGGATTATTGTGATGAATATGAAATTGAGCATAACTTTTCCGCTCCAAGAACAACACAGCAAAATGATGTTGTGGAGCGCAAAAACGAAATTTCAGAGGAGTTAGCAAAAAGGTAATCTATCAAAATAATATTTTTCATCCGATGCAATAAACATGTCATATTATGTTTTAAATATGATACTTATACTCGCTATTTTAAACAAAACTCCTTATGAACTTATTAAAGATAGAAAACCAAATTTACCACATCTTCATGTCTTTGAATGTAAGTGTTTTGTATGAAGGTGATCTTGGACTTTTTGGAAAGCTCAATATGTCCTCTACAGCCTCTATGTTGATCATTTTTTCATTTGAAGACTTTATCTTGATGTAAATTGCCTTGGCAAAAAGTGTCTTTTTGTTGACTTTTGAAATGACCTGTAATGTATTGGCTTATATCTCTCAAATGATGCATTTTTTGGACTTGAGCTTAGAGAGACAAAGTTGTAGAGAATTAAATTGTCTTCAAAATGGACTTTGGTTGGGGAAAATATGATGAGACATGTGAAAGTTATGCTCGGTCAAAGTTCAGTTGACTTCTCCTAAGGAAACCCTAATTTGGCAACTTTTGACTTTTGATGATTTGAGAGTTTTCCTTGAGGAATCATGATGAATGTGACTTCAAAATGTTTATGTTGACCAAAAATCTTGAAGTTTGACTGTATGTTGACCACAATTAACTTTTTACCCAATACAATTGATTTTTATTCATTTGAGCCATTGACTGAGCAAATTTTTGATGCAAGGCATGAAAGTTGACATGAGCATTCTTGAAGAGATATGGAGAACCATGAAAACCACTTGAGACTTTGGAAACCCATTCTTCCTTGAGAAATACCAAACCCTAGTTGTGGATTCATTACATAGGAGGAGAATTTGTTTGATCAATTCTTGAGCCACCTTGACCATTTGAGGACCTCATGAGAATGTCTTGAAGAAAAATAAGAGGGAAAATTTTGGGGTACAATATCGGGCTAGCCAAGAACCTATAAGATTTAAATACCCAATTGATCTCGAACTTAAACAGAGACTTGATCACACAATCTTCAGATGAAAGCTTTTAACGTGTTTAGCTTCAAACCCAAATAAATAATTTCTAAATAGATAAATTGTTCAACCAAGGTAAAAACATAACCTCCTTGATGAACTTACAAATCTACCCTTCTTCCATTACAACTTTATCCCTCATTAAACGAATTTCTAGAAAGTGCTACAATAAAACTTTAGTGAGATAAAGTAAAAAGAAATTTTGTAGAGAGAGTGAGAAGTGAGGAATAAAAGCTAACGTTTTTGGATGCCAAAATATGTTGTAAGGGACATCTATTTATAGGCTAAAGGTTGACACAAAAAAAGGAAAATTAGGTGGCCATAATTAATGATCCAATCAATTAGTGTCATGCATTAATTGGTTGGTTGGCCTAAAAACAATCGATTAATAAGTTCAAAAAGATAAGAAAAATACATTTAGCCGTTGCCAAGCATTAAAGCACTTCCATAATCGCTTAGGGCGTATTTTTTAGTTGATCCTATTGATTTCTATAAAGTCCCAAACGATTGGGAAGAACGAAATTTTGCCCAAGGCTTTTCTCACAGTTCCCAAATTATCTGGCACAACTTCAAGACATTTTTAGAAATATTTTCTTGGGATAAATAAGTTTGAAAACTTGTTTGTGTGTGGATTAGTCATACACTTTACAAGAAAAACCCTTGTGCTTTTATAATGTATATTCACTCATATGTATCAAGGCAGTCTTTCATATACTTCAAGACTTGTCAGGTGATTTATTTTTTAAGACACTTGCTTGAGCTCGAGATGAGGTTTGGTTTATATTTTGTTTAGATGTCATCATCATAGAATCAAATTTACTCAATCCTTATTATGGTTGTATCTTTAACCACTTTACACTTGACTTTATATGTTATCATCAAGGACTAGTTGTCATCATTAAAATCATGTCTTTCTTTAAGAGGTCTTCCTTTACCAATAGCCTGCAAACCAAGGTTCTACAGGAACTGATTCAGCCATCCTGCCTCCTTCACCGTTGGTCGATGGATCCACCTGATCTATAGGTTTTTTCTATCAATCTATTTTAGCTAGTGGCCTAGGCGATCTTATTTCATGTTCGCCTCGATCTACATTTGGATCCTGTCAATTTTCTACGTAGATTGAGCTTCTCAGACTGACATAGCATATTGCCATGATAGATCAGGATCTTGAATCTGCAATAGACACTCTTTGTTCCCAGGATTCTAGATTTTTTGCGGATGGTCTCTTCAACTGTGACGACTCTAATCCACAACTTCTTTTGGCTTCCTCTCAAATGAAGTGAGATATGGGATAACTAATAGGTCATCTTCGTCTGAAGGTGTCCCTACGAATCTTCTCAATTGTGGTCATTATAATCGATAGCCATATCAAAAGAGTTGGAGGAAGATTTATTCAGTTATTGAATTTTGCAAGTCATTGTTCCGTATTGGAACTAGAATTGGGTTGACCAATGATGTATGACCCTGGATGCGGTGAAGTTGATATTTAATATGATGGTGGGGAGTGGTCCTATAAAGTTAACACTACAATGCCCAAGTTAGTTACAAAGTCTAATATGAGTATAGTGAAAAATGAAGATAAAAAAGCGTACCTTGAATCTCACGTGCGCTTACTATATATGTTGGATCATCTTGGTTGGGCCATGTATAATTGGACCCTCGTATTGGGCCTTTGGCCGGTCCAAAACATCGTCTAAGCATTTCTAGGAAGTTACCATGATTCCTAGATTCAATTGACTCGTCATGACCACAAAAAGAAAATTCTAGATACTCTGAGGAGGATGTCTCTTGATGCACACTCTAATCTATTTACCAGCCATGTAATGAGAACACATCTATCAAATTTGCATTCTTTAATCCTGAAACATGTCTTTTTTTGCCAAAACATTATGTCCTTTTTCACTAATATGATAAGTGCTCAGTTCCACTAAGATGCTTCCATGTCAATATCATTCAATCTGTTGCTAGCAATCAAAGCTTTTGTCAAATCAAATTTAGAAAGTTTATCCCCTCTAATATGACAATTACTCTGATTCTGAAAAGTAGAAACTCAACAAGGTAACTTGTTTGAAGCATCAGTTAGAAAAACCCACTCGCTTCACTATCTATAGCCATACAAATGGGATGCATGCTCTATACAATTGCAAATCATTTTACTTTGTATCCTAGGTGTGTCAATCAGTGCAGTAATGAGATCGATTGTCACAACTTGAGAAGTTTCAGAAAGTAGGATAAAGAAAACATGTAACAAAGTTTCTTACTATACATCAAAAGCACAGAATGATAAAAATGGCACTAGCGTTTCACCTATTGAAGAAAAAAAGTAACTTCATATGATTGAAAAATAACATATCTAAAAACCAACACTTGACAACTACTAGATAACTGATAAAAAACTATAGTCCTAAAATAGAACCTTAATGAAAAAGTAATAACCACCCAACATAAAGTCTTCAACACAATAATCATGTGAACATAACAACAATGTTAACTGGTAATCTTATAGAAATTGATTGAATTTCGTGCAAAGAGGTCTTTTGCAGCTTCCACAGCCTCTGAAACAGTGAGATCGCCGTCAATGCACGAGTCACACAGAACTGTGAAAACAACTTTGCGGGCATTTTTCGCACCTGTCACAACAAAACTCGTGATTTTAACCAATAATCTTCACAGAGTATAATCTTCGAAATTAAGTAACATAATAATCGATGTTAAACCAACCTAAGTAGAAGAGTTCAGGAAAGGCATAAGCATCAGTACTAAACATCACCTGCAATAATACAAAGTTTACCCTTTATGAATTTAACAAAAGGTAATAAAAAACAGTACTTTCTGAATTTCTTATAGTGTCACCTTATTTAATGGTGCTTGCTCTAAAAGATCTTTCACTGCAGAAACCATGCCATGAACACTAAGCTTTGGAATAGCCAACCCAAAATCAAGATAAACCTGAATAAGAAGATTGTGTTATTTGCTCTATAATCAAATGCTAATATAAATTCGAACAAACTAATGCAAGTGACTGAGTTGCGAATTGTTTGCCTGGGAGTAGAGAGAAGCTAGATATGATGCTTCCTTTGAGAATGGATATGATGTATGTAAAAGAACAATCCTACACTTTGCAAATCTCTTGTCCTCAAGAATATTGTGGAGATAAAGAGGATTGGACATTCTCAGATTCAAACCTCTATCTCCAAATCTGATTAATTTTACAAAGTAAAGTTTATGGTAAATTCATCTAAAAATGTATAGAAATCAATAATTTGAAAGCATGCATTACCCTGTGTGTATCTGCATTGGCAAGTCATGTGATTGAGCAAATTCTAAACTTATCAAGAAGATGTAATCAACAAGGTTTTTGTTTGCTACCAAGACGGGCTTCCAAACTGAATTATAAAAATAATCAGAAGTAATCTTTAATAAAACCATAAAACATATATTAATAAAACCAAGGTTGTAAAAAGCGGTTCGTTTCCGAGAAAACAGCCGTGACAAAACGGTATTGAAAACCTTGAATTAAATCCATTTTCATTTTCTACTAACCAGATAACACCTGTTGTAGAGCCTCTTCAGCTTCCATTTTGGTGACATTTGTATTGATATCTAAACCAAAATAGTATGCTGCTATGCTTTTCAAACCAACTATCTCACCAGCAACTGTAACATTCATCATGTTAAGGAATCCAACTCAAAAACATTCAACATTAGATTTTTTGAACAGCTAAGAGTTTATTTTGTGTTTGTGTATAGAAAAAGAGAGACAGAAGCTTTTGAAGGATATGATTCCAACTTGGATAGAAATGCAGTAGTGAATGAGTCCAGTGTCCAAGAATATCCATCTGCCAAACCCTTCATCAAGCATTAAAGTATAAATATAACTAGAATAGTTGTCTATTTTCAACATATAGTCTGTCACCTCGAAAACGGCCGCAACAAAATGGTATCAACAAAATGGTATCAGAAGGTGATGATACAATACTGTTATTCACTTTCACACCGTGATGAATACAATCAGTATCACAATATCTGAACCAAATGATATCGCGAAAGCCTTTATACATATGAATTAGAAGTGATTGTGAATAAGAATCTCACTTGATTGAGGATTTTCTCAGCAAGGCGTTCAATTCTTACGAGTGTAGCAACATGAGGAGTAAAAGTCTTGTGCCATTCGGTATCAATTATTTTGTCCAAGTCTATTCCATCATCGAAGATTACTGTAGAGATTCTTGCAGCTTTGAAGCATGTTGAGGCGATAGATTCTAATCCAGAAACGTTTCTGTGTTCTTCAACAGCTTCCAAAGTTGAATCGCATCCATACAATTCAGCTACATCTCTTAGATTTCTCTGACATCAGATAATTACAATAACAAATAATTAAGCATGAATCAAATGTAAAACAACACCACCTAAAAAAGTAAAGGATGTTGTTACATACCTTGAAGGATTGAGAGTGTTGTGTTGAAGCAAGAGCATCATCACCATGAGCTAGAGAAAAAGCATGGATAAAAGCAAAGTTTGAGTCAAGTGCAACTAAGTTGTGAGCATGACCATCCACTATTTCCATCTCCTCTATAGTTTTTTTCAACTCACTGAAATCCATTTTCTCTCTTTCTCTTTCTCTTCCTCTCTCTTTGCATGTATTTAAATTGAGGTAGAGTCACACTCACACCTCATTTATACAGCTAAGCTCTGAACTACTCAAGAGTCAATTCACTACTCTATTCTTTATTGTTTTTTCTAATAAGTTTTACCACTTTACATTTGAAAAAAATATATTACATGTTTTTAAAATCATTTCCAAAAAATTAAATAATATGATTATTAAATTATCTTAATTTTTTGCATGTGAATGTAGCGTGTTTCACTCACAATTAGAGTTATGTACAACTTCCATTTAGTAAAAAAAATATATAATTCAATTTATTCTAATTTTATTAAGATGTTTTTATGATCTAACCGACATATATCTTAATTTCATAAACAGAAAAAGATGGTCTACAATGTTTTTTTAGAAAAATTGATTATAAATTAATCCTTTGGAGAAAATAGAATTAAATAAACTGATAATTGTTTGTGTGTTTACGTATATAATTCAATAGAAAATATAAGTGAATTTAAGTACAAATACAGATGTTTAATATTTCAACAGAAAATATATAATAAATTTTCTTTATGCTGGCTTTTTTCTCTCTTTAAGTATAATTTCTTCTTTAAATATTCTTTCTTTTTGAAAGTTTTTATCTTTTCTCAAATTGATTCTCAAATATTATTTATCAGTGTTGTTTAATATTGTGCAATTTAATGAATAAAATAGTGGAGAGTGGATTTTCTCCCATGAGAATTGTTGAGAATCAAGTGTGAGGAAGAAGTCTCACATTGATTATAAAAGGGAAGATTGAGCACTTATATATGAAAGAACTCACTCATCTATCACCTTAAGGTTTTAGATTTAGTTGACTATTACTTGAGCTGAATGTTTGTAAATGCGTCGTTGTAATCACTGTTTCTTATAAATCTATTTTCACAAGTGTTGTACTTACAATAGAAATATGTATGTTGATGCTTTGAAATTATTACGAAAAATTCATTTAACAACGATTAGTAAATAGATATAATTATGCAGGATCAGACGTTCTTGTGTAGAATATTGTTGTAAATTCGTTATTAACAATCGCGTTATTAACAATCGCGGTCTTAGGATCGTTGTAGTATATTGGTTATCTCGCGTGATATCACAAAAGTTATGTTTATTAACCGTTGTGATATATAAGATACTGAATTCGAAATTCAGCAACAAATTAATTACATTAGATCACAGTTAATATATAAAACCGTTGTCGAACGTATCCATAGTTTATTAAATACAAATGTATATTTTTTGTTTTACCATACACCTCATTAAAGAAATACAACCATTAAAATTGATAAAAAATTATATAATCTGAAAATTAAACTATTCTGAAAACCAACTTAAGCACACCATTGTATTCATAATTGCATGTGTCTCATTCAACACATTTTATGTTCTTTAACACATATATGATTCAATAGTCGGATTCATTCAATGCATCAATATATTTTATTATTGTTTACCTCATCATCATCGCGTATCATCGTGATTGTTATGATGACTTATCATCATAACAATCATGATCTTAACAATCACGATGATAATTGACGACGACGAGGTAAAGTAGAATAATAGATATCGATGTATTGTAGGAATTCTACCATTGAACTATATATTATGTGTTAAAGAACATAAAATGTGTTGAATGAGACGCATGTAATTCAGAATACAATGATTGATATATGTTGGTTTTCAAATACATATTAATATTTAGATTATGGATTCTATGACAATTTAAATGGTTTGCATTTCCATTAAAAGGTTATTGAAACAAACAATATACATAGTATATAATAAACTATACTTCATCTCGACATGTCAATCTGTATAAGAATTTAAAGAGTAAAACATTGATAAGTTACAAGAAGCCTTTTTCTTATGAGTTAGAAATGTTTTATTCTTGTTTTGAGAACATTTGTCAACAAAAACATCATACAAAAACACAACAAATACATGTAACACAATAAAAATAACATACATTTTAGCAACAAAACACGAACAGAATACAATATCACAAAATATATTAAGTTGTTTATAGAACGCACCTTTTATTGAAAATAATCGTGGACCTATGAAGTTTATCCAGTTGTGAAGCAATGAAAAAGAAATGTAAGGTGAATGAAGTTTCCACAATGACTTCATACTTCTTGTATTTTGTTCCATTGCTACACAAGCCATATGTACCATTATCAACTCATGTTATACGCTTTCTACCACCATCATCGTTATCATATGAGGTTCATGTAGTTTGTGAAGCCATGAAAAAGAAGTATAAGGTGGATGGAGTTTACACAATAGCTTTATGCTTCTTATATTTCTTCTCATAGTTTCTCAAACTAGATGAAGTTTGCTGCTGTTGTTGTTTCTTGAGTCCTACAAACACCATGAATATTATCAACATGTGAAACTGCATGCTTATTTGTCAACAAAACAACAAGAAACAACAACATAGAACAACATACAGCCAGAAATTATAAACTATCTAACAAGAAGAAAATTAAAGGAAATCCATGTGAAACATAACAATAACATACACAAAAAAGAGAATAAGGAAAAAGAAGAATACATTTATGTAAGAAGAACAAGATTGACGACTATAATGTAGAATATGAATGCTAATGATGAAGAAGAAGAGAAAAATGGGTTCTAGGGTTTTGTTGTGAAAGATACGTCACAAATGTCAAAGAGCGAGTGTAAATTCGCTTATATATAAATATACTCACAACGGTTTTCAACATCAACCGTGGTGATATATATAAACGTGTCACAATGGTGGAATGCATGAACCATAGTCATAACCATTTAATTTTTTATTTAAAAATACATAAAAAAGAAAAGGCGCGCCTTAACATTAAAGGAATAATATATATGAGGGCGCTGAGGTTCGAAATCATGAAAGTTTTATGGTATCATCACGGTTGGCTTCTCAACCGTTGTTATATACAAATAATTTTTAATTAAAAAATAAAAATAATATGGTAGCTTCTTAGTTTAGAGATGTCACCACAGTGTAGGAAAGAACCGTGGTGACCATGGCGTTGTTGTTTACGCGTTTTGTAGTAGTGTGTACTATTATTTACTTGTCTCTCAAATTTGAATTTATTGAGTTGATAAATAAATCACCAAAGTTATTATTTGAATAATAAATTCATAGAATCTTCGATGATGATCACCAGATGATAAAACTCACGAGAAGATGACAATTTGATCTTCTTCAAAAAGTTCAAATAGATGATTTTAAGTGTTGAGTTGTCTAGAAGAAAATGAGGATTATTTTAGTAGAACATGTGTAGAGGATATCATTGAAAACATGTACTAGACTATAAAGAGAGAAATCTTCATGACTTGTGCGCATATGATGCTTTATCTGATGCTATATGAAGATGTTCAATGATCAACATGTAAGATAATATTTTTAAAATTCATATTGAGAATTGACAATCTATAAGTAGAGGCAAAACCTTGTCTTTCTTTCTACACATGTAACATTCATTAGACAATAAAATCATTTTCTTACACTATGTTATCATCAAAACTAAATTAAATAATATTGTTCTTTAAATAAATTGTGGTTCAACAATTAAAAGGGTGTATCCGATTTAATAAGAAGTCTTAAGTTCAAATTTAATCTCAAAAACACATTTTTAGACAATAGGAAACGCTCGCATAAACGTCACTCTAAAAATGTTCTATATTCTCTTAGGTAACATTTTTTACACTTTTGACAACAATTTTAAAATGTTTCATATTCTCTTAGGTAACATTTTTTACACTTTTGACAACAATTTTAGTGTTACAAATACACATACACACGCGCACACACACATATTATCTGAGTAAAAAATATTATTAATTTGAAATAAGAAATTGACTTGTATAAGCCTTACAATGAGACAAAATAGGAAACTAACAACTCACATTTTACTTGTTCTAAGAACGTGGAAAATGGCTAAGGAAATGGCCAGACTCTACCTACATGTCCTAAATAATAGGATTTATTAACTGAATGAACTTTGAAAACTTCTACTATAACTCTAGCAACCCCAACAAATTCCTCCCTTAAATTGATTATAGTAATGCTCTCAGTTTACTTGTGGTACCACACATAAACCATTGACTCACACATCTTCAAGAACATATCCAGCTTTATTGGTTTTGTCATAATATATGTAACTGATTCTTTTGTGACATAGTACTTCTGCTTAACAATTCCATCTTTGGTCAAATCACGCAATAAATGAAACCTTACATCAATGTGTTTGTTGTGTCCATGCATGACTAGGTTTTTGGACAGTTTAATGGTAGAGTTGTTTCCACATAACACAGTGGTACGCTTGTATTGAGAATGACCAAGCTTCAGTAGTGGACAAAGTAACCATATTTTGTTTTTTTAGGACCGGGACACAACTCCTTCATTGAGTAAAAGCTCATAACCAGAAGTGATTTTTCAATCATCTACATCTTCGACATAATCACTATTTGTATATGCCATCAATTTTCCATTACAGTCCTTTCGATAAAAAACTCCCAAGTCCATGATACCTTTCAAATATCTAACACCCTTTTTGTAGCTTGCAAATGCAACTTAGTTTGAATTTCCATGAATATGCTAATGAGACATACAATTGTTTGTACATGGTAGCATTCACCTTGGTTACTTCTTCATCCTTCATTAGTCTAACACCAGGAACAATGGGATTTGTCACACTGTTTCTCTTATCCATCCTAAACCTCTCCAAAACTTGTTTTTTCATTCTTTCTTTGACTGATATAAATGCCTTCATAATTTTGTAAAACTTCCACGCCGAGAAAATATTTCATCTTTCCCAATTCAGTCATATCAAATTCATGTTTCATAGAATTCTTGAACTTAACAAACATAATCTCATCATTACCAGTAAAAATTAGATCATCTACATATAAGCTAACAATTAAAATTTTACCTATATCTCCTGTTTTTATGAATAAGG